GGAAGCGACCACAAAGCACTCCGACAGGCCCCCTGAGAGGCCAAAGTCCTTGCAAGAAAGTCTGACAATCTGACCGCGAGAACGACGCAGGAATCCTCGAAGACAGCTCAACCACGACAACGACAAATTGCTCCCACACTTCCAACAGCCATCAAACAGATTTCAACGTTGTCTGAGTGGCCCGAAGATGCGCCCATGAAGCCCAAATGTGAATTCAAGAGGCCCTCCAGACAGCCCTTCAGAAGCTCAAAACGCGTGAAAGAAGTACAGTGAGTATCAAAATAAGTGGTGGAAGAAGAAAGGAAGATGGCGGGATGGGGAAGGGAAGCACGCAAGCGTGGAGGAAGGAATCCCACCAGCCCTCTGGGCGGAGGTGGCAGAACGGGTCTTCTCTTTACTCTTCCAAAACCCATCCTCCCCCCAAGCGGGGGGAGGTTTGCTCCCTCCTCTACCCCCATTCACTGACTGGGTCTGGACGGGAGGAGTGGGATGTTGAGAGGCCCCAAGAGGCCATTGTTCTGCTCCCTGCGGGGGGTTGTCGTTGAGGACTCCCCCGCCCTTTTGAGCTACGGGGTCCAAGGTCGCCCCAAGATGACCCCACGACCCCCCCAAAAAAGCCCCAAGTGGGCCCGAAGACCTCCAACAGGAGCCCATGAGAGGGCTTCGAGACGGCCCCGAGAGGACGCCATGAGGGCCCCAAGAAGACCCCAACGTTGCCCCATGAGTCCTCGAAGATGCTTTCATCCCTCCCCCTCCTGCTCCTGGTCCTCTTCCTTCTCCTGCTCCCTCCACGTTATCCTCCTCATCTTCCTGACCTCCTCCGACCGCCACATCCAAGCGACTATCCAGGGCATCGTGTTTGATGGGCTGGTGGGGGGGCACTCGAAGCGTCAATACTTTCCAAGAGACCACAAAAGTGGCACGCGAGCGTGTACATCATGAATTGCTGCCGGCTGTCACCAGCGCCGCAGATGCAGGCTCAGGGGGGGAACACGCGGGAAAGAAGAGCAGCATCGGCGAAACTGCCTCGGCTACCAGGCTGGCAGGCTGGACTCACGAACCCAGCCAGCGAAATATGTGTTTGGCTACGGCGCGCGAACTTGCGACTCTGGCTGGGGATGGGGAGGATGACGATCCTGGCGAGGAGGAGGTTGAAGCTTCATAGGGGGGGCATGTCACGTCCTCATCACCGCTGCCGCTGCCGCCATCGTCGAGTACCGCCGAGGGACAATTCGACAGCCTTCAAGTCGGCACGAGCTACCGAGATCGGGACTGCCGAGCAGAAGGGGATCGAATGGGCCTTACTATCAAGGCGAGGAGGAGGAAACGGAGCGTCAGCAAGCAACGGTAGGAGCATGAGGCAAATCGAAGGTGGGGAGGAGCAAGAGGAATGGGGGGATGGATGACGAGCATGACGAGGGCAGGGAGCGGGCAGGGAGCAAGAGGGGGATACAATCGAGAACCTTCCCTCAGCGTATCGCGGCACCGGCCCCGGCGACACGCCATGCCCTGCGAGTGGATGACGCGTCGCTCCGCTCCGCGGAGCGGGAGGCCGGGCAGAGCTCTGCACGTTGACGCTTGGGGACGACGTACGCGGCTGGCGTGTCGCGCCGAAGCGTGGTGGGACAGAACCGCCAGCGCGACAAGCTAGGCCAAAGTTCCTGACTGCAAAGACGAGGAGGACGAGGTCGAGGACGCGAGGAGAGGGAGGAAGACTCCTGATGACCACCTCGCACGACGGGAGCCCCGACCAAGGAGGCCCCGCCATGCGAGAGGAGGAGAAACTACAGAGCGGCAACGAAGAGGAAAAAGTCGAGGAAGCCTCGCGAGAAGGGAACATATCTTGCCAGCCCAGAACATATCCCTATCCCTATGTTGGGCATCGCCTCATCACGATGGCGATCTTAGGGATTCCCTCAGTTTCTGAGGGTGCATCCCTAAGATTGTCATCGCCTTTTGGCGTGTCAATCTCGGGGATAGGGATAAGTTCAAGGCTGGTGAATATCCGTGTCCACTGCCTCGCGGGCTGGACCCCCTGGGCCGCGGCCCCTTGGATACACAAGGCATTTTGGCCCTCGGATGCACCGCGCGCGGCGTGCCGTGCGACCGCGGAGGCGCGTCCCCGAATCCAAACCGCAAGGGCGTGGAGTCATCCCTCCTCCTTCTCGCCACGGATTCCCATCAATCCTCCCCTTATCCTTCTCCTCCTCCTCCTCCTCCTCCTCCTCCTCCTCCTCATCCTCCTCATCATCCTCATCCTCCTCCTCCATCTCCTCCTCTTATCCTCGTGAAGGCCGACGGTGGCGACGATGACGACGGCTGCGACGACGGCAACGACGACCTCGACCGACCTCGCCCAGGGCCCAGAGGCCACCCGAGGAAGGCCAAGAACGCACAGAAGGAAACCTCCATCGTCGAACCCTCGAAGCTCGGTCCTCGGCCTTCGAGCGACAACGACGGTCGACGACGACGGTCGACGACGACGACGACGACGACCACCGACCGACGACGACGACGATGACGACGATGATGACGACGACGAGCCTGACGACGACGACGACGACGACGACGACGACGACGACGACGACGACGACGACCGGCAACGCCTAGAGGCCCGACGACGACGGCGACGAGAACAACAACACTCATCATTGCAAGGCTGTTCGCTCGTATCTGCTCGCGGGCCATCCGACACGTATATCCCACACCCTGGGTGCCAGCCCTCTTCGTCTTCGGTCGTACCCCGTCTGCGATCGTACCCTCTTGGGTGTGCATCTTTGTTACCTGCCACGTGGATTTGGTACACGTCATAAGACAAGGGAAGAGAGGATGGATGGAAGGAAGGGGCAAGGGGGAGGGAGAAGCATGGAGCATCAGAGAGAATAGCAGGAGGGAGGCTAGGGGCAGAAAACGCGTGGCAGAACCAGACGGGAAGATCGGGCGGGTGGAAACTAGCGGGCGGGTTGGGAAGGCGGGCCCATGCGGCCAGGTCGAGCAGACGGGTTGCTGAAGCGTGCGTCCTGCAGGAATCGCAATGCGATTCGCAAGTAGATCGTGATGCGCGGCCGCAACAAATTGTGAGGTCGTATCACACAGGGGCGCGATTCCTGCATACTTTAGGAGGAAGTCCTGGGCGAGAGCGCGATGTGTACGTACATTGTGAGGAAGTAACAGGCGGGAGCCGTTGTTGTTGTTGTTGTTGTTGTTGTTGATGTTGTTGTTGTTGCTGATGCTGTTGATGTTGATGATGTTGTTGTTGTTGTTGGTGGTGTTGTTGTTGTTGTTGTTGTTGTCTGTTGTTGTTGTTGTTGCTGGTGTTCTTGGTTTTGTTGCTGCTGGTGAGCTCTAGTTTCTGAAAAAATAGTATTGTTGACCCCCCCTCCGGTAACCATTATATGTTTCAATCATAATACTCCTCCTGGGGCTCGCACGCTGTTTTTTTACCAGGGACAGCTGGATGTCACCAAACTGTGCCCCTGGCCCCCGGTTTACAATAACAGCGGCTCCCGCCTGATACTTCCTCACCAGTTATTCCAAAATCGCACTCTTGCGCGGGACTTCTCCACAATGTATGCAGGGATCGCGCTCTCGAGTGGGACTTCCCCGCAATTTATTCAGACGCCGCGCCCTCGGCACTCAGGAATCACGCTCTCGCTGTAGCCTTTCTCACGATTGCGCTAAGTGCACATGGCAGCTAAGGAAGATATGCCCTCAAGGGGGTACGATCGAAGACGACGAGGGCGGGTACCGAGGGTTTGGGATATACGTGTTGAGTGGCGCGCGACATGAAAGAAGCGAACAGTCTTTAAACGATTGTTGATGATGTTGCTGTTGTTGTGGTTGTTGCTGTTCTTGGTGGTAGTGGTGCTGTTATTGTTGTTGCTGGTGTTGTTGATGGTATTGGTGTTGGTGTTGATGCTGTTGTTGCTGTTGCTGTTGTTGTTGGTCGGGGGCCAGGGGCCCAATCGGGGCCAAGGGCCCAATCTGAGCAGCAATACGTTCCGTGCTTTATATGAAGAACGTGCGAGCTCAAGGAGGAGCACTATGATTGAAAAAGCTGAAGGTGCACTGGAGGGAAGGATCAACAATAATTGTTCTTTCGAATTGAAAATCCGACGACGATGACGACCGTCAACGCCAAGAGACCAGAAAAAAACCCAAAGTGCCTCACGACCTCTATCCTCGACACTCGAACCTTCAAGCTTCGAGCCTCAAAACCTCAGGTGTCGATCTTGCACCCTTCGAACCTCCGTCCTCGAACCTGCACCCTCTATCCTTGATCGACGGCGACGTCGACGACGGCGGCAGCGGCGCCGACAACGCCGACGACGACAACCACCACCACGCCGGCGGCGCCGACTAAGACAACGCCAGCAGCGACGACGGCGACGGCGATTGAGGAAACAAAAACCTGGCGGCGCGCACAGGGGGGTACGGGGAAGGGGGAAGGCTCCTTAGAAGGAGGCTGCTTCTTAGAAGGCACCGGCCTTACAGATGTAGATAAAATGAGGCCCGCGCCTTTGGAGGAGCAGCCTCTTTCTAAGAAGCCGTCCCCCTCCCCCTCCGAGCCGCATCGAAGATGCATCGGCGAAGCGGCACGATCCTCCGACCCCACATACACCGACTCCATCAGGGAAGCACTGGTATCTCTGCCTCCTGTGAGCGGCGTCGGCGGCGGCGGCGGCGACGACGACGAGGAAGCGAACGGGGGCGACAACGACGACGACGACGACGACGACGACGACGACGACGACGACGACGACGACGACGACGACGACGACGACGACGACGACGACGACGACGACGGCGGCGGCGGCGGCGGCGGCGGCGGCGGCGGCGACGGCAACGGGCGAAGGGCGCCGCGCGCCGCGCGCCGCGCGCCTCTTTTCTCCGCCCCCCGGCGATGCGGCGGCAGGCCCGCGGAGGGAGGGCCGCGGCGCCCCGCCGCCCCCTCGGCCGCGCCGCCCACCAGGGGGCCCCGCTCTCCCACGGGCCTGCCCTCAGGCGGGCTGGATCGCGAGGCTGTAGCACACATCGGAGCCCTCCGTGGACTCCTTGAAGGAGGGGCAGGCCACCTGCCCTGCCCCGGGCTGGCCAGGCTGGCGTGGGAAGCCCAGGCAGCCGACGCCGCGGCCTTTTGGCGGCGTGGGGCCCCTGGGAGGTCTGGACCTGTTCCCGGGGATCGGGCCCTTGATGCCGGAGCCCTTCCTTGGCGGGCCAGGGAAACCGGGTGAGGCTTCCTGGGGGGCCGAAGACTGTCAGAAACCTCCTGTCGTGTTTGGTTTCTCCCCGGCGCGACGATGCCAGGGAAGCCGCACCCTGCCTTGCCAACGCACGGGGGGGCCCGCGGCAGACTGCGGGAACGACACGACCGACAGACGACCGGCGGACGACGGACGAGGACGACGGAGGGCGCGGCGAGAGCGGAGAGGGCGGGGAAGGCGGGGACAGGGAAAGCGCGCGCCCGCGCCCCACGCGCGCGCGCGCGCCCAGTTGCCCGCCGAGGCCAGGCGCAGCTTTCGGCAGGGGGCGCAGTGCCGGCGCACTCGGCCGCCGCAGTGGGGCGCAGCTTTCGGCGCGCAGGGAAGACGCGCGCTCGCGGGCCCGGCCAGGGGGTGGCCTCTCCTCCGCAGAGGATGGGGTCACAGCCGCCGCACCTCGTCTGGGGGTCTGGGGAAATACAGTCAGCCCGAACAAAAACGACGCGCGGTAACGATGCAAAGACCTCGGAAGGCCATGTCGACACTCTGCGAGCGGGGCGCGGCGAGAGAAAGCGACCACGGATGGGCCGAAGGGGAAGGATGCAAAGGTAGCCTTGGGAAGATGCTCGCCCTTGCTATGCGGGCTGACTGCAGCGCGCAGAGGCAGACGGTCGGCACGCGCTCCCACGCAGGCACCCACGCGAGAGAGCTTGCAAAATTTGTCCGGAGGGCTCCCCATTTCCCCCCACCCCTCGTCTCAAGTGATCCCCTGCCTCGCCTTTTCCTCCCTTGGAGACGGGCGGGACAAGGGGTAGCAGGATGGAGATCCCGAGGCGGTGATGGGGGGGGGGGGATCGAGAAATTCCCAGCGCTTCCGCATGCGGTGCGAAGGTTACGCCCTCAGCAGGTGACTCCAGCCGGCGACCCCAAGTACCCTCCAATCCGTCCATCCATCCCTCCTCCTCCCTTTTCCATGCTGCTGCTGCTGGTAGCGGACGCGGGTATCCCTGCAGCCGCCTCTCCAGCTCCCCCCCGCCGCAACTGGGCGATGGGGGGGTTCATCCGGGAAGAAGTGAGAGGGGAAAAGGTGGAGATAAGCCCCCCGGTTAGGGGAAACGTGAGACCAGGTAAGAGCACGCTGTAATTACCTGGCGTGGGACAGGGGGGGCGCCTGATGCAAAGCCGCACAGTTGGAGGGCCAAGCCATTCCAAGGGCGAGAAGGCGCGGAAGACGGCGCGCAAGACGAAGACGAAGGGCGCCAGTAAATCCCCAGAGGAAGGAGCGGAAGACGGCGCGCATTGGCGAGGATGGCGACCGCCAGCGGTTAGGAGCGCAGTTGGGCGATGTATGCGTTCAGCTTGTCGGGGAAGTGGTGGCTGAGGTCGCTGGCCGCGACGATTTCCTTCTGAATTGTCTCGGCCGTGTTGTAGCTGACCTGTGGGTATCCTGCCATTGTGGCAAGGGTGTCGAGCTTGTAAGGGATGTCCTGGTAGTGGGATCGGTAGTCGGCGATGGCGTCTACGATCAAGGCCTTTCTGCTGCTTCGCTGGCCGCTGGATTGAGCGATGGTCCCACGCGCCCAGAGTTCGTCGTTGTCCGCGAAGGAAATGTTGAGTATCGCAACATCTTCGCCCTCGTTGACACTGATGGTGCCGCGGGCAAGGGGGTCTTCAAGCTTGGTGTAGTATGGGTGACGTATGGTGGCGCCCATGGGTGGGGAAGGTGAATGTGTCCGGGTTTACCTTCTCCTGGGTGATCGTTGCAACTGGGAACCAGCCGGTGGACTTCTGGGGCTCCGCCTGTATGGGGAATGGGTGGTTGGCGGTCAGGCTGGGAGTCGCGGCGCTGAGCGTCGGGTCGGTCGAGCTGGATGGAAAGGTGGGTCTGTGCTGTTCGCTTGCTGTGGATGTTTCCAGCTCGGTGCCGTTGCATCGAAGTCGGTCATATCTTTTGCGTGAGCGACGTTGTCTTCTTATGGTCGGCATGATAGGTGGGGCTTTGTATCTAGCGGGTTTGAGGTCTGGGTTGGGCAAGTTCTGGGAAGGGATGCCGCGGGCTGGGTTGGACGTCGCAGGCGAGGGGATTGCTGCTGGAGTTGTGCTTGCCATGCTAGCACTGCCGCTGTTAGTAGCTGTGGCCGCGCGAGTCTCTTTGGATGCGTTGTCGGTTGCAGGAGTCGATGCTGGTTGCCCTGTCTGAGCCATTTCGTCTTGCGGTGTCGGTGCGCGCCGAGGGAAGATCTCGATGTGGACCTCGCGCTCAAAGATGGGCCTGGGGCTGCGCATTTGCTGAATGCGGTGGGGAATGTGACGTGCGAGTAGGGGCGTGCATGCCTGCCTCTCGCATCGGTGCGGAGACGGGCAAGTTGTCGTTGCACACGATGAAGTGCCCGTTGGCATACATGAATTTGAAAGAACAGGTGGCCTGGAGCTTGCGCGCCGCACCATAAGTGTGCTCGGTCGACCCAGTCGTGGAAATTTGGGCCCCGCTGGTAGTAGGCGCGCATCTGTGCGAATACGTCGTGGATAGTGAGGGTCGTGGCTTTGTCAGCTTGCTCGTGCATTGCTGGGCACTCTGGGATTGGGGGGTCGTCGGTGAAAGATAGGGGATATATGGGCCGCATGCTGTGGTAGATGCTGCCGCCGCTGTTGATGCTGAAGGCCTCGATGTTCTGGTCGGTAAGTGGCCGAGTTCAGCATGGGCCGCAGATGGAGTCACCTGGGACCTTCCACTGAGCAATGAGGTGCCCTTGTAGTAGATGTGGTAGTAGTAGTAGTAGTAGTAGTAGTAGTAGTAGTAGTAGTAGTACTAGTAGTAGTAGTAGTAGTAGTTGTTGTAGTAGCAGCAGTAGTAGTAGTAGTAGTAGTAGCAGTAATAGTAATAGTAGTAGTAACTGTAACCGCCGTAGTAGTAATAGTAGTCGTAGTAGTAGTCGTCGTAGTAGTAGTAGTAGTCGTAGTAGTAGTAGTAGTAGTAGTAGTAGTAGTAGTAGTATAGTAGTAGTGGTAGTAAAAGTAATAATAATAATAGTAGTAGTAATAGTAGTAGTAGTAGTAGTAGTAGTAGTAGTAGTAGGCAAGCCTTCCCTGAAAGCCGGCGCGCGCGGTCCAGCCGGGCGGCGGTCTCCCACTGTGAGATGGGTCGGGTGCACGGGCGACGCCCCGCTTGCACGTTGGGGGGTCACTGGGGCCAGTGAACCTGCGACTGGCCACGGGTGATGTTGCGGCAGCTTGAATAGGGGTTCTCAGCGCGGGGGGGCGGGCCAGGCGGGGGGGGGGCGGCTGCTCGGGAGTCGGAGCGACGGACTGCTGGTAGAGGAGCTGGTAGGCGTTTGGTACAGGAGTGAGGATGGTCTAGTGGTATTGTAGTATTGAGTGCCGCTGGATGATCTGTAGGTCGGCGCGCCTCAGAGACGCGCGCGCTGGGCGCGGTGCTTGTCGCGGCCGAGCTTCTCGGACTGCCGCATTCTAACCAGGGAAATTGCTGTGGGCCCAGTGGATGGGCTCGAAGCCGGCGTTGCGCGGTTTGTGGCAGTAGTAGACAAGGTGCCAGGTGCCGTTTGCCATGGTCCTCCTCGTCGTCGATGAGATACTGTCTCGCTGCGTGGGCGTCAGCGTCGCATAGCTTGTCGACGTCGGTGACCTTACTCCTCAGGATGTGGCCAAATATGGTGTCAGCGGGCTGCTTGTATGCGGGCGAGTCATAATCAGGTCGCTGTTTCGTTCCCGTGGGGGCGCCCCCGTCGGGGGTGAAGTCCACGCGGCGAACGATGATCTCCCGCTCGGCGGCCTCTGCGTGGACGTTGGTAGCGCCGTCGATTCTTAGCGCGCAGGTCTCCGAGATTGCAATGACTTCCTGTAGGACTTGCGCGGGGCATTCAATGAGGGCGCTGTCAATCATAGCTGGCCGCATGGGTAGATCGCTACTTGGCGCGCTCAGCTTGGGGATCGCGACACGGTCGATCTCCCTCGCGGGTTGTGGTGGCGCCCGGCATGCCCCCGATGCCGACCGACAGCAGAGCGGTGCCCCCTTGGTGATAGGTCGACTGGTACTCGTTGTCCTCTCAGGTCGGTCTCCGCGCAGTGTAGTCCACCTATCGTTTGTGGCGAAATGTGGTGGCGATCAATGGGCAGGATGTAGTTGTCCGTGGACTGGTGTAATGCTCCTCCTCCGCGGGTTTCAACGATGTCTCTCGCGCGCGCAGCAAGTATCCCTACCTCGAAGGTCGTCGGATGAAGGGTGCCGGAGGTGTCGGTGACCACGACGATGAAGATCTCCATGATGTAACGCTCGACGTTGCTGTGGATGGCTTCGTGCTCTATGCCCTCGAAGGCGTTGCGCTTCTCCATGCCCTTCGAAGATGTGTAAAGTCTTTAGATGGGCGTATGGCTCCTCGCCTTTGTTCTTCCACGGCGGTGCTTGGTGCTGCGGCGGGTCAGTGCTCGAGAGTGATAGGGTCTCCCGCCGTTCCAAGTTGCGGATGGGCATCTCCTCGGGGTCGCGGCCGTTGGCAGCGTCTTCTGGCGCGCGGCACTTGCTGGCCGAGCGGCGGCACGGGAAATTGCCGGCTCTATCCATCCAATGGTCTATGCTGGCCCACAGCTCGTTGTCGGAGCGGGACAGAAAGCTGTCGTAGACGGCGCCCCAGCTTTCCCTCCCCTTGTCCTTCCAGCGTTTTCGCGTTGCGCCGAGGTCGCCAACGGCGATGCGGCGACGGTGAATGGTTCGCACACCTCCGCCCTCAACTGCAGCAGGGACGCAGACGTGGCCCAGGTCGAGATGAACGCACGCATAGTGGCGTGTGAGGGCGTCGGAAGTGTTGGTTCCTTGTGAGGGCCGTACGATGCCTGAGCACGCAGTAGCACCTTTTGCT